ATATTAGGCGAGTTAGAATGGGACGGACATCCCGGAAATGATCGGTCCGTTGGCTAAAGAGTCCGTGAGGATCCACGCCCCCCGTCTAAGTGAAACGGATGAAACGAAATGAAGTAGCAGCAGTACACTTCTGAGAGAACGAGTTGGAGCGCAAAAGTGCACTTCTGAGAGAACGAGTTGGAGTGCAAAAATGTACTTCTGAGTTTGCACTTAGAAGTGCCCGATAAGTTTGGCGACGTTGCGGCAAAAGTGATCGGTTGCTTCCGCTGAACAGTAAATGTCAGCGACGTTGTCGGAGTGGTTAGACCAGCGGTAAACAACGTCTTTGTTATCGACGCTGGCGATGAGTAGGTTGAGAGAAATGCGGAGGTGCCGTACGTTCGGGCCAAGAATGCGCTTGCGAATCGTCTTGAGCGCCGTGCGGTTGTCGGCCCAAAGAACCGTCGGCGGAAGAGTCTCACCCGCCACTTGCATAACAAGTGAGCGAACAGCCTTAATCGCTTTAACTAAATGTGCCATTGCAGTCCGGTATGACATCTGAGTTTCAAAGGCCGTCGACGTCTGGCGGCGGCTCACATCAAAAACCTTGGCGCTGTTCACCAAAATTACTCCTCCCGTGCGTGACAGCGCCAGTCCGCGTGCTCCCACAGCCAGCTCGCTTGCGAGTGTCTCGTCCGCATATGCTGTAATCTCAAAACGGCCTTTGAACCTCGACGAAAAAGGGATGCGCTGATTACGTACACCCACGAGGTAGCGAATCGTCTGTACAAGAGCGCGTGCATGCGTCGGTGCCCATACCTTGACGGCCGTGAGCAGCGAGTGCACTGACAATGCAATCTGTGGAAAGCATGCGCGCAAATACTGAAGAGATCCGAGTGTCTTCAGTGGGTCCAAAGGCCGTGGAGGAGAGCCGCCGGCCGAAATAGGATAAGCTGCGTCCGGATCAACCGACCATTTTGCGGGAAGTGGAGTCTCCGGGATGGCCGTAACTTCATTATAACCGACCGATTTAAGAAACGAATCCAGAGCCCGTTCCTGACTGAGTGAAATCGAGCCGCCCTCCGAGTAAGAAATTTCGATCGCAGCAATGTCCGAAATCGTGTCTTGCCAGGTCATGTCAAAACGCGCCGACAGCCGCTCGCGCACAGCCTGAACATGGTGTGCAGCACCAGAAATCGGGCAGTCGTCGGCGATTGAAAGCAATATAGTCGGCTCGGCATCAACCTCGGAGCGATAAAGAAAGCACGGATGATAATCCGACTGCACAAAACCAAGTTCCTTCGTGAGAAACGGAACAAACGTCTCGAACCACCACCCACCTGATATGGGGTGTCCATAAACCGGCTTAATAACGTTGAAGAATACGTCATGAGCCTGAAAAGGCGGCTTGCCGTGAAATTTGCGATCAAGATATCTCGAGAACCCAAAAGCATGACGCATCAGGACCCACATCGACTGTTCAAGCGCACCGCCCTGTAAATAAGCTGACACCGAATCACCGCAGGCGCTACAGCCCGGCGCCGTGTGCCCAAAAGCGACCGTAAGCATAATGAAAAGGAAAACACAGTTCAAATCCGCCGCAGGCGAAGCATAGCGCGGTGTCGTATCCGTGACAAGCAGACCCTCCTGCTCCTCTGCGGAGCATAATGCTAGGTCGCTTGCCACTATAGTCGAACCATCGACCGAGGCACGGACCTTTTTCCGGCCATCTCGGCGCGCCTTAAAAGTGACGACCATGCGATGAATCTTTGCCAGGGGATCCACATCGCATCGTCGGACGACCCCGAGCGCGCCGTACGTCTTCAGCAGAGCGGTGTGCTCCTTGTCGCACGCCTGAAACCAAGCGTCGCCGTCCGGTCCCGACAGCGCCTCCTTTAGGTCCTTGGGATCACTAGAGTCTGCATGCACGACCAAAGCACTTGGCATCGTCTCGGCGTCGAGGTGTGCCTCTTCCGGAAGCATTGCCAACGTCATACAAACGACAGATCGAGCACGAGAG